ACAACCACTTGATCTTGAAGCGATGGCCCACCAACGGAGGCTGTCGCATGCATGACTTGCCTTTGACTTGCTCTGCTAGCTGCTGCGTGGCAGAACGAGGTGCCATTCCTTCTGCAAGTTAAAGCGGCTGAGCACTCCGCACTGGCCCGGCCCACGCTAAGCTGTATGGTGCCGCATGCGCGCTTTGTAACCGGCTCGGCACTGCCGAGACCGATAGTGCAGCACCAGTCGGGTCATCCGATGACAGGGCTCGTGAGCTTCGGACCCTGGCATCGCCTAGCTGTTGCTAGTAACTTGGACTTGTCGAGCGTCCTTTAAAAGGTACTGAGGTACGTTCCCCTCGGTTTTCACACCTAGGCCATTACAGAGCTCAAGCTTTTGAAACGCTTGAACCGCTGTGACATGGATCTGCTGCTGGAAATGGGAGATCCGTCTCCAATTTGTTCCAGCTGTACTGCAGCTTTAACATCATCAAGGTGAGAAGTTGTGGGAGGACTGCTTTAGCACTTTAGCACTCAGAAAGCGATTTCAGCTCCTCGCCTAATGTTCAAGCCCTGCCTCTTGCTCGGACACCTTGTGCGCAGTTTCTGCGCAAGCTGGCCGCTCCATCCTACGACCGTTTGCAGCTTCATGCCTCATCGTTGGGCCGTCAGCTCCGCGCGAGGCAAGCATCCAGTATGGATTTTCTTGAATAACAACCAGAACTGGACAGCAGCTGCTTGGTATGCAGCTAGTTGAAGGTTTGCGGGTGTGATCGGATTTGTCAGACGGCTGAGCTGCCCGTTTGCGCTCGAGGATTCACCGGTTCTATATTGTCCAGCACCTTGGGAAGAGGAATCCTGGTATGATGCTTTCACTGGCCTTCGCGCATTCCTTCGAAACCAAGCCGAATTAGAAGTAAACGTGTACTAACGATGCCAACTGCTTGCCATGCAAGAGAGGGTCGGACACCGCAATTCAGCCATCCAACTGCCAGACCGGACGATCCGTTCATACGAATCCTCCCATTCTCTCTCTGGAACAGGGCCGACGGTCTGTAGGGATCAGCTAGAGTATCCGGCTTCCGGTGTATCGACCGCAGGTGAAGGCTGCTACATGGCGGAAGACAGCAGACCCAAGCTGCTTGTTCGAGGATTCTTAAATGCAAAAGCGCATTGGCAGGCAATGCTTCGGTCAGGCATTGCTTTGAGATTTCGTGTCCGACCGTCCTTCGTTGCAGAGTGCGCTAGCGACGAGCTGAGCAGACACACCCCCACACCCCCACACACACACACACCCACACCCACACCCCCACACCCCCACACACCCACACCCCCACACACCCACACCCCCACACACCCCCACACCCACACCCCCACACACACACACACACACACCCACCCACACACACACACCCACCCACACCCACACCCACCCACACACACACACACGCACACACGCACACACACACGCACACACACACACACACACACACGCACACGCACACGCACACACACGCACACACACACACACACACACGCACACACACACACACACACACACACACACACACACACACACACACACACACACACACACACACACACACACACACACACACACACACACACACACACACCCACACACACACACACACACACACACACACACACACACACACACACACACACACACACACACACACACACACACACACACACACACACACACACACACACACACACACACACACACACACACACACACACACACACACACCCACCCACACACACCCACACACACACACACACACACACCCGCCCACACGCGCACACACGCGCACACACGCGCACACACGCCCACACACACACACACACACGCACACACACACACAACACACACACAGACACACAGACATACACACATACATACATACATACATACATACATACATACATACACACACACACACTGGCCGATGCTTGCTGGGGCTTATGCACTGGGACGAAACAAGCTGGGGTGTTCAGAATTATGTTCTGCCAATGTTTTGCCATTGCGAGTTCCGCGTGTGCATGTTTTGGCATTTTCGTTGCGGGTCTGCATTGTTTTCTTGCGTTTGCGGTGGGATGTTGCATGATTTGTGTTTCTATTTTTGGTAGTTAGTTTTGCTGCAGCCCGGCATTTGCTTCGCATTTTTGCTTGCGCCTCACAAAACACAGAAAGAGAGCAAAGCAAAAAGAATGCATGCCAGTGCCTTGATCCGATTCTGAAAACATAGGCATGCGGAGCAGCTGTAACCTGCAAAGAGTCTTCTAGAACTAGTGCTGCCACCTGTAGCCACCATGGGCATCCTGTAAATCTATACCCCCTTCCAGAACAGCGCTTGTGGAAGGGCCCATGGACGCGAGACTGCAACAGCTGCAGGGCCTGTGATCGTGGGTGGAATACAAGGTCCCAATCTCTATCTGGGCTGTCGGACGGAAGTGAAAGAGATGCCTTCTTCCATTCAAACTGCCTGCATCGCGGAGCGTTGCGACGAGTCATCGAGGTCGATGTGTTCCGCCGTGACGCGACATTCCGAGCTGAAGAAGCGACAACGTAAGGGCCACAAGCAGACCAGCAGCGAGCAGTGCAAGTCCGTAGCGAGCAGTTACTGGATCGACAGCTTGTTCGGCGGTTGCATCAGCTTGCTGTTCCTGCTGCTGCCTAGCGTATGTAGGGCAGACACTGGCATCTACATGTTAAACATCATAGAGAGTCTATGGGAGGAATGAATGGGAATGAGGGATGCTTGGACTCGACACATCTGACTGAAGGTGAGCTCTGGCCGTGTCATGCTTCGTAGCATATCTCAGATCTCGTTCCGTGGCGTATGTTCACGAACTCTGCCTTCTTGGAAGGCGCCAAAGGTTGTAGATGATTCCTCGCTTGATGAAGAAGAGTCGGAGGGGAATTTCGGAGTTCCCACTCGAGAATTGTATGTCACCTTCATCTTATCGCTACGCACATCCGCCTCGCTGCCGTTTCTCGACATGAGATCGAAGAAGCTGCAATTTGTTCCATAGGTTTTTTTGAGAAAAGTCCTGCACGAGTTACTAATCCACTGTGCACAGGCAAGCTCGCAATCGGCTCGTCTTCCTGTCTTGCTGTCGGCCCAGGAGAAAGAGGTCCCTTCGTGAAGAGCGTAGAGACGCTGAGTGAGCCCAAGCACGTCTGGATGCTGTGGATAGTCATCCTCCTGCCACTCAGCTCGACATGCTTGCATTTGATCACGAAAGCTGGCTCATTTGGAGCTTGCGGAAGTTGTTGTTGACAGATTTGGTTTTGGGTCAGCAGTCAAAGCCCTAGTTAATTCAGAAGGGACGCGCCCCTCAAGCGGTCAGCAATCACAACAGACAGCAGAGCCGCTATCATTCGGCGACACAGCCGCAGCGCGCACATGCACAACTGAAGACAGCAGCATCGCATAAGACTATATCACGTTCACTGACTCGTTGTTGACAGGCACCAGTATCGACGAGTTTGTAGGAGCGTCAACAAACCTTTCAGAGTTGTTTTGTGCATTGAGGAACGAGCTCTGCCACGGTGGTTCAGCACAGGCTTAGGTTGTACTAAACGGATGTATGACAGCGCACACATGCTCAATTTCTTTGTCAAGCTTGATTTGATAGCCGCTTGCCTACCAGCTCGCAACAGCATACAAGGAGCACTGCATCAGCTCGTAATTGCGGCACACACATGTCCTGCCGTCGCCCGAGTTGCTCCCTAGTTTTCGTCAGCTGCATCGAACACTACATTAATTAATTGAGTATTAATTGCATACACATGAATGTGCCTGGCTAGTCATTGTGGCATGCCCGACATGAGCCATCCATCCGCAAACGGCGGCAAGAGCAAGAAGCTGCGGCATCCAGGGCTTATGCAGTGTCAGCTAGTGGCATATGGGATATCAGATGAGCCCGGATCATGCGGAGCTGAGGCTCTGCCTGACCAATGGATACTTGTTCTGGAGATGCAGGCGCAATGCCAAGGTTCGGAATGGCGACGACTACGAGAGCTACGACGTCCCTGTGGCACGAACATGTCGGGCTAAGTTGCGTGACTACGTAGGACTTAGGGTTATGGAGGGCAGCTCGGGACCGGTGTTCCACCGAGTGCATGTCAGAGTGGCGCCATCGGCCGTAGCATGATCCGCTTTCAACCACAACGTGCAGAGATGCAAGTGTTGTTTTATTTTTTTCGAGCTTCAGATTCGCAGAAACAGTCTACAGTGACAGAATTGGATACGAAACTCATGTGTCCGAGGCAGGGTACCCTCCTGAATTTCTTATTCAGATAGCACTTGGTTCAGGGTCATAAGTGATACCCACCAGGTTCAGGGCGCGCTGAATCTGAACCTATTCCTTTTGGGGTTGAGGCAACCTCGCTAAGCTTATATCCTCTTATCGCCTTCTGTTTGGCAGTACAAAGGGCATGGTGGTTGCTTTTGGGCGAATTCCGAAACTCTCGCCGATTTGCTGTTGTGGAAATCCTAAACCCGTGCAAGCGACCGGATATCAAGTCTTCACTTCTACTGCTTTCCTTCGGGCAAATTCCGGACTCTCGCAAATTTGTGCCGGAAATCCCAGATCAAGTCTTCAACCCTCCACTTATTGCCTTCGACCGTACTCCGAAACTCTCGCCGATGTGCTGCACAATCCTCCCAGGCCTAAAAACCAGGACATAAGAAATCCAGGTGCTAAGTTTCTCATTTTCCTGATTTTCCTTGTGGGCGACCCCAACAAACAGGAAATCAGAACTTCAGGGGCTGAAGTTCTTGTTTGAAAAACTCTCGCTGTACTCAGTCTAGACCGTTATAATCTGAAACTTTAAGATCCCGAAGCCTTAATACTGTGTTTTGTTTAGGGTCCCACGTTTCTGGTCTATTCGATAAGAGATTTGGTTTCGGAGGCAGGGGATCCTGAGTTTCTTGTCTCCTTTTGCGTGGTTGTGGCAGATTCTACAAGATGTTCGCCCAAGTCGAGGGACTGAATTCCTTATTCAATGTGTTCTTAAACAGTGCCGGTGCGAGGCATGGGTCGACGTAGGCCGCAAACATTTGTTGGTTGTTATGTGCATCTTTTCTTTCGGTTTCCAGCCTAAGGAGTCTGATGAAGAGAACCTCTGCTGGAAGGAGTGACAGATGACGTTTTCGGCAGATGTGGCCAGAAAGGGTTCGCGTTTATTTTGCAAGCTGTAGTCAGGGGCCCACGACGCGGCAAAAAAGAGAGCTGGAGCACCAAAAACCCTGCCCAAGAATTTTCCTGGCAGGCTTGGATGTGCTTTGGCTCATGTTCACTGTACGATCTAGCAAAATTTATGCGTACATGGACTGCCTCATTGCGGTCGGGAGCATGGTCAGCTAAGCTATGAAATTCCAAGCTGCACTGAGTTCACTCAGTAGCGAATGGGCCGCTGTTGTGAGAAAACAACAGCAATGATAGAAGGTGGTTCGTCCACACAGAGCTCACTGTGTTTCATGGTGCGAATGGTCGATGGCCAACTATTGTTTAATCTCCAGTTTTCGCACAGTGGTGCAGTTGCCAAAGCCAAGTTTGCACAGCTCGTGTGCAGCCAATGATGAACAGAAGCAATGCGCAAGAGTGTTTTCCTTTGTTTTGCTGAAGCTACACGCTGGCTGCGCGAGAGAGAAAATGAACGGAGGCCTCGTTGAAAGCTTTGATTAGAAGTATGGTTACGAAGAAGAGGCAGGGATAACTTTGCACGCCGTAAGGACATTCCCAATCGGCCCGCGCCTCGAAGGTGTCGGCGTGGCATCTCTCAATTTTGAAGTGGTTGAGAGGGGAGCCCTGAGTTTGAAAGCCCTTTCAAGGCTAAAGTCCAAGTTCTTCCTCTTCAATATGGCTTGGTTCTTGATCTGGGCTAGGGCATTGCCCATACGATATGGCCTCATCAGAAGCATCTGTCGAGGTTTTGCCATCCACCGTCAGCGGCTGCCTTGGCACATTCGGTCAGTCATGGTCAGTCGCAGAGCCCGGGAACAGGGAGCATGCAGTCGGCCCGTGAAGGTGCTGACAACATCTACGGAAGCATCCTTCGTGCACGCTGTCGCCCCAGCGCGCAGGAGGAGAGAGCACCTAAGAGCTAGGCACCAGCTGTGAAAGTATTGAGGCTTCAATGCGAAGCAAGGCACCAGCGCAGGCCTTCGTACCATGAATCAGGGCTACGATGTGGTATGCTTCTGAATTGGTGAACCAGATGGGCAAAGTTGAATGCTGGATGTGTGTAGCCCCACTGCCAGGCTAACTCTTGTTTGGTTTCTCCTTCTACTACTTAGGAATTCGGGGCTTGCTGCACGTGTCTTGTCACTGCTTGGAATGTTTTGTGCTTCAGCGCATCAGCGGATCCGGATGGCCGCGTCGAAGTTTCATCTGCATCCAAGAATCGCAGCTGTCACGCAGGCATTTTGTCGCTTACGCGCAACGTCACGGCTGCTACCATCTCTGTGTGGACCAAGGCCGTGGAGGGAAATCGCTGCTTCAGATCTCAACATGATGCAAGCGGCAGCTGTCGCTTCATCACTGCTTCCCGACAACGGCATTTTGCAAAGCTCCTCACAATCACATGAGTGAGGCCTTGCTCTTACTAGTAGTGCAATCTTTGTGCCCACGGGCTTCAATCTTCCAGCATGCAGGCATACAATCAGTTTTGCGACCAAATGCTGCCCTCGCAAGACCCCATCGGGTGGGTGTTCGGGCCAAAGCCCTTAAGGGCAGCACACGTGACCCCCGGCCCGGAGAAACAAAGACCAAAACAGCGACAGAGACAGAGAGGTTTTCAGATCCAGTGTGTTCTGTGGCTGTGTGGCAGAAGAATGTTTTCTGAGTGAGCATGACAGGTCCAAAAGGTTCTGTTGCCAACACCTTCGAGGCAGGTTGTCGCAACTCCGGCCTTGAAAAGGTTGGGTCCACATATGAAGCCCGGAAGGTTCCACTATATCTTCAACCTGCGAGAGCTCAGTCGCGTGTTCCAGGCTTCCACACTTAGAGTACTACCTGCGCTAATCCTCTGCATCCATCTCAACATGTCGTTCCCGGCCTTTCCAAGTAGGGGTTTCTCGAAAAAGCGCCAGTTGAAGAAACGTTCCTTGACGTAGTCGGAGGCATGATTGTCTAGGCTCTGGGCAGATGAGAGCGAGTCTATCACTTGTTCATCTTTTTTGAATCCAAGCATGCCGATGCTAGATTTTAAACGTGGCCATGGCGTGCAGCAACGGATGAGTTCGATGTCTGATAAGTCTTCGAGGGTTTTGAAGCTCACAGCTGCAGTTTCAGTGTTGAATGTATCGTCACGAGGGCATCTTGGAGACCCCGCAGACCGTGGCCCGCACACTGAGCTGCAAAGGTTTATAATTTTCCCGGCCCCTGCTTGCTGGAACTAATCCGATAGTTCACAGCTCAGATCGTGGACGAGGAGAAGTTTGTGTCTCTGTGGAGGCCAGAGCCTGTGAGAGCGCTGTCAGCGGTTTCGCTGTCAGCATCTTTCGAGCAGCGCCTGAATCCAAAGGTTAGTATAGTTTTGGCCTCTAGTTCTAGTTATTAGTCGTCTGCAGCACACCTGGCATGCCCGATACTGCTGTGGTCAGCACAGGCTACTCATGAGGTGTAACGTCCTAGTGTCTTCAGCGTCGTGGCACTCAGTCATTTTGAACTATATATACGACAGCCAATTGCAGGCACGAGTGCACCCGCGTCTTTGCGGACAAGCTTTCTCGCGAGAAGGACGGGTTTTTGCAGCTGCCATAGTTGTCGTCGGGGTGCCGGAGGCTTCGACAAACAGGCTAGCCTAGGCTCCAGCCGGAGCAGCAGCCGAGAGGTAGCAGAGCCACTCCAAGTCAAGTCGCCAGTCTTGCGTGGACAAGGATAAGGTGCAGGTCGACAAGATAGTCCACGAGTTTGCAGCCTTTACCTCAGCAGTTCCACGACAAGCATGCGCCGGAGAACGACGAGTTTCGGAGTCTACGGAGGAGTAGCACCCGAGCCGCAAGCGAGGCTGAGCACTTTGGAGAGTCTTTGGCCAGCAGCACTGCCGAGAGCTGAGATTCACATGGGTGGTTGTCAAAGTTATGGTCCCTTTTAAATTTTGGGTCCGTATTATAATACGGCACCTATTATTTAGGGTACCCAAACAAAAAGCCTAATTTTGACAACCACCCACATGCTTGAGCTTCCAGGCTTCTCGGGGTCTTATTGAATGTGAGAGGCCCCGACCCAGTGGTGGTGCGACTTCCAACGTGGCGGCCTCAGCGCTCTGCCGGTGCTGGAATCCTATGGGCTATGGGCATCTAATCTGAGATGTCTTATAAGGAGTCGGCATCCCAAAGTGTGATACCTGCAGCAGAAGATCCTGCAAGGGCTAGCGGGCTCCGCATCCCTCGCTTCAGGAGACAAACCTCCCGCTACTGAAGAGGACGAGGACTACTGGCGTAACACATCATGGCACAAGGATGCATTGGCAAATTGGGGTGCCACTTGGGTTCAGGATCCTGTCGCGCCGAAAGTGTATGAGCCCGTTCAGCCGGAGTCTTGGCAAGATGGCCCTGCCATGTCTGGATCTGCTTTGCAGCAGGTCCTTCTCGCACGTGTCCAGAAAGGCCTACGAGTATTTGGCAAGGTGCCGGGGGCGCATGGGGGTGGACGCCATGGGCCGCTTCCGCTTCCAGCTGTGCTCCGAGCCGCCACTCCGCTTCTCCGGCAGGTTCAACGAGAAGAACCCGGCCAAGGCGGGAGCGGCTCTGACAAGCACGTGTTTAGAGAGAAGCCCGAAACCTTTTGGTGTCTTATCAGGGATTTCGTCTGACAGTCGGGCTTGTCGAGTGAACCGAGGCGGTAAGCAGGAAACGAATGTACCGTACCTACTTCTGCAGACCTTGCCAGGCTTGTCCGAGTGTGAGTGTCAAAAACAACCAAAGGGCCAGACAGTGTAGTCTCACTCAGCTGACTCCGAACCACATGCCTCGCCTGGATTGTCCGAGTGTGAGCGCCGAAACCATAGGGCCCCGACATGTTGATCCGCGACACGCAACGAAAGTGTCGCAGTGTTTCCGAAGAGACTCGGAGAAAGGGTTTTGTTATTGCATTTCGCGAGCGGACACAAGACCCTGGGTAAGTCGAGCGGTTTTGTATCTGCCGGAATGACATAACTCGGGCAGCCGGGGGGCTGGGAGGGGGTGAGGCGGTAAAGACGACGACCAGAACACAGTGTCAGATCGGCTCGACCGCCTTACTGAAGACTTGTTTAGTTTCGACACCGCATCGAATCGAAGTAAGCCCAGTAAAGAAAAACATGAAACACTTGTTCGTGAGCAACCAGGGGAGCAAATCTTGACATTTGGGGATTGCGACATGGTGCCGTTCATGCATGAACGCGATCACACCACCTTCAAGTGGCCTTCTCTTGCAACATGCTTCACAACTCGTTGAAAATATGAGCTTACGTTGTACAGATGTGCATCATGCGCATCTATATGTTACACTGCTTCATGTCATGGCGAACTTTCAGCGGTCGTTGCTGTCTTAGTGCGACCAGCACAAATCGTGTTTAGTAGGATGCCGCCAAGACAGTAAGCATCAAAAGGCAACTTCTTACTCGTTTTCGGCATTGGCATGTGTGGGCGCAGTTTGTGCGAGTTGTGATGCAAAGGAGTTGCTTGCCGCAACAGTCCATGACATGCCTTGGGGTCGTCCGTCGTCGTGTCTTGCCTTTTTGTTGCCAGCACGACACTGGACACTAGAGTCATGCTGCCTGTGCTAAGGCCATGAATCTCGTGTTGTTTGAGGATGCAATGATGCACTTGCCGTTTGCTGAGTCTGAATTTACTGGGCACGTTCACAGCCTCTCACACAACCTGAGCTGAGGATGCGCATAAATCGAACCATTCGTCAAAAGCGTGGCAGTGTCGCGGCCTTTGCTGCTGCGACCTTTCCAAGGTTGCTTCTAGTCAGGGTGCTTAGCGTCCGACAGTGAAAAATTCAAGGCCATGTTGGTTGGAGTCGGCGGCAGTGGCTCGGAACCCGGCATGGCATATCAAAGATTCGTCGAGGCGGTTGCAGACACATGCGATCGCCAGAGGTGCGTAAGTCCTGTCATTTCATGGTGATCCACCGACGCCTTTCGACTTTCTCGGAAGAACCTGGACAACTTGGCCGACGATAATCCCAAACAAGCACAGGGCACAGGGCAAAAGATGGCACCACTTGAAGCTAACCGCTAGCTTCACGGATTGCCATTTGCACTGTTGACATCTGCTTCATGAGGCAAGGGACTGAAAGGGAGCAAACGAGAGGCCAGGGCATCTCAGGAAAACGCACGTGAACTCTGAAACACTATTGAACAAGAGGCAGGCTATGCGTGCCAAGCAGCAGAAGGCGAAATCAGAGGGCGCAAGGCTACACCAAGCGTGGATGCGGCAAACGTGGATGGTCAGCATAGGTACGAAATGTTCAGTCTTTGCTATGCCCGTGAGGTCGCACAGACTTCTGAGACCTGCATGCTTAGGCAAGCAATCTTTGACCCGTTTGGCTGCATTCATTTCTGGCCACTACTTGTTCCAGATCACCATCACCAAAACATACAGACGGGGCCTTACTCGTACTCGGTTGTCCCTTGGCTCAGCTCAGGCATTTGTGTGTAGCAGTTTGACAGCGCAAACGCGACTGCCGAGGTGAGATACAGTTCATGGAGGTGGGTTGGGCCGTTTGGGCAAGCCCATGCAAGCCCGCAGCCAGCTATTATGAAATTATTGATGCTGGGATTTCGCAGGACCTGAAAGAGCTGTACATCATTGCAGGCCAGAAGGATGAGGACGAGTTGACAATCGCTCTGCCAGTTCTGCTTTTGAGCGCAGGGTCGCAGCTTTTTCATGGCAGGACGTCACGTTTATCTTCACTGACCAAGATGTAATAAACGAGAACTTCTTGGAGATCATGAATTCTATGTTGGCAACCGGAGAGGCGCATAAAGCACTCAGGAGAAGCATAAAAGGGCCAAGTGCGGCGGAACAGGTGGTGGGCCTTCTGCAAAAGGACGAGAAGGAGACAGCCATCAACGAGGTGACAGCAGCGCCAGATGCCGCTTAGACCAGAGCCGGCATTCGTAGTGTCGCAGGGAGGTGCTGCTTGGCAGATCGCAGGCATTTGGCCCGAGCGACTGAGCGATGGCGGTCGGATAAGGCATTTCAGGGATTTGGAATGAGCCTCCCCGCCGTTGAGGCCTTTGATCACGGGTGCAATAATCGATCGTGTTCGGTCGTCGCGGTTCACGTGCAGATGGCCGAAGTAGACGTTGGCAGCGTCTTGGTGGGGAGCATTGCCAGGTGTCCACATCGGCACCTAATGCGCGAACCTGCATTGACGCTATGCTGCGAAGTCTGCAAAGTCACAGTGCCTTCGATGGGTCTGGACGGTCTGGCATAACATGCAGCCAGGAGAGATGGCTGTCGCCCATGACAGAGAACGGCTTTCGATCTGGCTGCTGGGCATAGAGATCACACGAGGCAGCCTTTTCGTGCAATCTTCATGTGTGCTGGCATCGAACAAGTCCATCCCTTCAAGAAGCTTTTCCGGCTTGACCTGTTGTGTGCGAATGCCCATCTAGATACAGACCACATGCAGGACTCCTCTCACTACTTGCCGACTCAGATGCACTCTTGCCTACTTGCCACAATTTTGCCTGGCTAACTTACGCCGGCATCGTGCGACTGACTCCGTCAGCATGTTGTTTGTGTTTGATCCTGTTCTCAGCGTCGGCATGTGGCCGCGCCACCACCTTGCCTTGATTGCTTTCTTCAGAAGCGTTTGGGTTGGCCCAGGAAAAAGCCTACTGATCGATGTTGTCACCTTGTTTTTGCCTCACACATATCTTGCAGGAGACGCGCCCTGTAAGAAAGATGACGCTGATGGTCCTTTCTTTTCATGCACTGTCCCCTGCTTTCAGGTCTTGATCATGCCATTTTCCCTCTTGGTTCGTCTTAGCGTGTCGGTTTCAGTTTCCACTACGTGCCTCCTTGTTTGCAACAGTGTCCTGCAGCACCTCTTGGCGGCTGCCCTCCTTTGAAACTCGCAAGCCGGTTGATGGAATGAATGCACTCATCAACTTCTTCCTTGTGTTTCAGTTGCTAGTCAGTTGCTAGCCTGTTCTGCAGCACTGCGGTGCAAATTGCTGACTTGGCGACACTGTTGACGATTTGACTGGATTCGTTTGCCACGCACAGAACTGGAGAAATCAGCACTGGTATTTTCAAAACAGTGACAAGTTTGTTTAGAAAAATGTATGCATGGCCAAGGAATGCTGACTTTGACCACCACCGCGCTTGGTGGTGGAGTCTTATCCGTTTCCTTCGCGCGCGGCTTAGCCGTGAGATTTGTTCAGGGCGTCATCCGCGAGAACACCACGCAAAAATAGCAGTAAGAAAGGTCATGAACGTTTGTGGAGTCGGCTTGGGCTGTTTGATGCTGATGACCGGCGCCCTTCTGGCTTATCTTGGAATGGATGCCTTGATGGACATGACCGGCACCTAGTGCACAGTACAAGATGTCCACCTGGCAAATTACTGGCAACGAGTCGGTACAATGATGTCTGAGGAGCAACCGAACAGGCTGCAGCTCCTATGCCGCGCTGTTTTCGCACTGTGCCGGAACCAAAGCAGGCCCACAGCCACACTCGAACGACGCAAATTCTCAAGTGGCATACACTGACAGTGAGGCCCCATCCTCGATGCGATGCTCTTCATTTACGGCAATGGTGCTTGCGTGGCATTCTTGGGACCGCAGAGAGATCCTGCGACTGACTGGCTTGATTGCCCGCTTTAAGCGAGGTTGGGTACATGGTCTTCATTGGGGATTTCGTGCCAAACATCATCGCGTTAATTTTCCCAGAGGACTGGGCACAGAACACCAAGGGCCACTTGGCCGCGTGGGTCGCGAGAGCTGCAATGGCTGTGCATGTGGTCTGTTGCAGAGCTCGGGCAACCGCAGGTCCTACGCGCACATGTTCAATCCTTATCGCAGCTGTGCTCGGCTCATTTTCGACGAATGCACTCACCAGCTACACTGACATGAAGGCAGCAAGTTCAACAACGTGTTACCCCTGAGCCTTACACTGATGCCGAGGTGCTGCTTGTACCGATGATGCTTCCCAACGACTTGTCAAAGCTAAAGTTTCTTCAGCCGGTCTCAATCATGTCGCTGTTGTGACTGGGCTCTACCCGGAAAGAAGCACGTGACCTGACCACACCTCTACGGAATCCAGAGCCGGCGTACACCAATCCACAAGTAAAGCGGGAGATCGGCAAGGTACATGTCCATCGTTGTGACAGTCAAGTGTCCCGGAATGTTCCGTGCCGCTTTGGTTGCATGGTGGCTGATGATACTGATTTGGAGATTCAGAATCCCTCAGGTTTCTCAGGACCTGAGACAGACATGTTATTACAATTCCTATGCCAATGTATGCGTTTGAGCAGGAGTTTCAGTCCTTCAATTTTTCATGTTCAGCTTCACTGGGAGTCAATGCCGGCAGGCGAACAGAGAAGCTAACGGACCTCTCAGACTGGCGACGTTCTCCTTGCACTTCTTTGAGGCGAGGCAGCAGAAGCCCGTGAATTCACTGGGCAGCCGGGCTGCGCCAGGCATTCGCCTTGTGCGTATTTGCATTCAACTGCCACCTGAACGTGATTCCGATAGCGGACCGACTTGTCCGACCCACACGCGAACGAATGAAGAAAGTGTCGGCCCGTGTGAACATCTTCCAGTGTGCCTTCTATGTCTTGATCGGCGTGACCGGTCGCTTGCTTCTGAATGAAGTCACCACTTGTACGTAAGCACGCAGCTTGTTGTTCCCATGGCGTTGAAGTTCAGGCTACCTGTCATTTCTGAATGCAACTCTTTCGGACATCCTGGAGAACTATAATCCTACGGACTCGCCACCGGGAGGGCAGTTGGTGTGTCTGCTGCAATGCCCTAGCAGTACATGTCATGCACTTGAGATCCAGATATCTTCACCTTGGAAGGACTACTTTGTAGCCGCCGGCCGTTGCTTCCTCACGCTGACAATGATGGCCGCTTGGCTGAGTGATGACGTCAACGCGGCATTGGTTCAGAGGAGTCCGCCAGTTCATTCGGATGCCAACAAGTTTGGAGTAGATGCTGTGAGAGGGACCGAGTGCTACCCTCGGGGACTCTGTGGACTCCGCACCAGGCAGGTGCATGGAGCATTGAGCATGGCTTGTCATGGCTTCCATTTTGTTGAATGGCTTAACATGAAACTAGTTAGTTAAACAACTCACGGAACCCGCCAAATGTTTTGCCCGTTCTTGCATCGCAACCTTTCCTCCCGTCAGTTTGGACAACCGAAACTATCAAGGAGCCTTGCTTGATTTCCGAGTTCTGTTTAAATCAGACCCAGCAGACGCTGGAAGCCATGTTCGATGACAGTTTTGGTTGGAAGGTGTCGCGGAGCGTGGTTTCGAACGAGAATGCGTAGATGATGTTGTTGGTGTTGGTGGTGTCCGTGATGCTGGTGGTTGTCCTCACGGGGCTCGTGTTGTTCTCGAAAGACTTTGCATTATACTAGCCGCTAGCACTAGCAGCAAAAGTGTAGCTTTTTTCGCATGGGCGCCGGAGGTGACCCTCGCTTTTTCATAAACAGGAAGACCGAATGGTTCTTCTCGCCGAACCGTTTTATGCAGTAAGCAATTGCCACCACCCGCGCCGGAGAGTCCACCCATTGCTCTCAAGAAACGAGGACAGAATGGTTTTTTCCGACATGGCGCTGTGCCACTGCACCGCTGCATATACTAAACACGTACGCCGGAGAGGGAGGATCGAATCGACTTTGCAATGGCGAAACATTCGCCAGTTAGCCAATCATTCGAAGCTAGACGATGCTCAGTCAAGCAAATGCCGGCAACTCCAGCGCCGGCGGGGCCGCTGTTTTCGACAAGCAGTATGACCAAATTGTGTTCCGACACGGCGAACTAGTTGCCAATAGGCCAATAGAGACCAAGGCAAGTACAGATAGAAACAAGCAAGAGACACGCGAATGACAGGCGTCACGGCCGTGCCAGAGATGAGATCATTTCTGTCGGGTTTATGAAGGCTTTTCGCTTCGAAACCACTCATTCTCCGCCACACTTCTTGTCAGGGAGCATGGTTTCAGTCAGGAAGCACAACATTGTTGATTGTCAGATTGTCTTATATAATAGCGTTTTCGCTTCGAGAGCATGTTCCACGACAATGCTGTGAGGGAGTTTAGACCGGTTCAGACGCACAAAACGTTACAAAACCATTTTGTTAATTCCCGAATCTTTGTTCACTTTAGTAACCACATTCAGGAAACTAAGCAAACCCAGTGAAGACATTTAGTCGGCTTCGCTTCGAAATCATGCTTCGTAACAGTTTTGACAGCCAAAGTGTCACTGAGCATTGCTTCAGGCAGGAATCAAACTGTCTCGATGAAATGTTGTTGAGGAAACACAATGAAACTCAATGTCGTATTCGTTTTCATGCTTTGAAACGACGCTGCGACACACTTCTGCATGGCTGTGTACGTCGTAGTGCGAGGAAGCTTCGTTTTTCTCGCTTGTCCAAAACACGTGTATTTTGTGGCAGCCTTGTTCCATCCAGATCCTACCCGTTCGATGTATTTAGTGTAAGCTTTGCTTGCCTCTCATCAGTTGGCTAGTGTAAGTGTAAGCCTTGTTTTAGAGTCCACAACCTTGTGTTCGGCGAAAGAGCCGTCGCCATGATGGGACCGGAAATCAAACGCCCTGTGCGGTTTGCTGGTCCTTTGACTCCGACGAGTTCTCTTTGTTTCTCACGGCACGTGACAGCAAGCGTGGGACATCGTGGGACGTCCAAGCGAAGCAGTGCCTGCCTTGAACGGGTGTGCGAAATGACAGCGTCGGCTAGAATTTGATAACATGGCAGATTTTGACGCAAACCGCTCCAGGGAAGATGAGGCGGCAGGAACATCGTACCCCAACATCGCGTTTTTCTTTTGAGTCCCACAGCGCTCCACAGCCTGTGGACAAACCCAGGTCGCTATTCCTGCGAATCTGAATCCGACGGTAGCTTGGGCGTGCATGAGCGTTGCATGATGCTGCATGTGTGAGGGAATTGCCAAAAAGGGCAGCTTGTGCAACAGCAGCGTGATGCCAGCCTTAGGGTGCTAGAGCCGTTTCCCCAAATTCTCGGACTGCTCAGGTGAAATCCGGTGTTCAGCTGAAGGAATACTTCGTGAAATCGGATCCCACGCTGCTGGAGCAACTGTTCTGCAGCAACGTAGTTGTTTGGCCCGAACAAAGACCCGTTTGGGCCCCTGCCACCAGTAGGTTGGCGGGCTCTTGTTTGTGTCAAACAAAGAGACAGGGCGTTAGGGCTTTACCCGGATTTTGGAGATGCAGGTGATGTTCCGAGCACCTACACAGAATGAGTGGTCTTGTTCGGATAACAGAATCGCCCCCTCTCGGCTTGTTCTTTTGGGGGCCGGTGTCTTTGTTTGCGACGGACAAAAAGGAGGGATGGAGGTTCTTGTTTGGGCCATACAGAAGGAGGTCAAGGGGTTGCGAACATTGGTTCCAACATGTTCCAACATTATTGAACACGATGTTCCGAGCATCTGAGAAGGGAGGTCTTGCACGTGTCAAGCAAGAATGCCAGTGCCTGTTTTGGTTGGCGCAACAAGAACCTCCCTGCTTGCAGTGGATCGGATCGTCATCTTGAAATGTGACGAACCCTATTTCCTTCCGAAACCTGCATGGGCCTTTCAAGAAGCCCGGAACCCTTCCCTATCGGTGCGGTCTCCAATTCCGGCATTTCGTTGTTGGATAAGTAATGTTGTTGGCAACAGGGGTCTCCATGTCCAGAGTTCCACGAGCTCAGGAGCCCAACCAATGTGGAAGAAGCTCGGGATCAGCCGTGCTTTCGTGACATGGCTGCGCACTGCAGACAAAGTGACTCGGAAGAGGTGAAAGAAGTCTTGCAAGACAACTGTGTATCTCAAGGCATAGCCGTGTCCATTGCTTGTTTGGCTTGCCAAGCTGTGGTGGCTGACGCTTGGCAAGGACTCTCTGTCTTCGCATGTTGCAATTGCTCACGTTCCAGCACTTACTGCAGATTTTCACAAAGGTCAACGTGCCGAACGTCGGAACCGTTTTGAGCAGCTTGCAGTGATAGAGTGCATGGAGCGATGGGTTCACGTGTGGTGTTGCTGATATCTGACCGTGGAGTAGACGACAAGGCCTCCTGGGAGCTACTGTCGCAACAGAGCCTTGTTTGAAGCTGCACTGGCTTGATGAGAAATGGTCGGCATTTTTCCCATGTCCTTACCATACGATGGCCATAAGATGCCTCAGGCCATGATGCTGATCGTTCCTGCGTACTGCATGGGCATCGTCCTTGAGAACTCCCTGAAGCGTCGAGTCAAGCAGGCAGACCAAGACGTGCGTTTGTCCCAGCCTGGGTGAGTTTTCACTGACAAGAGTTGGCTTAGAGTCACCCGTCGAGAGTGATGCACCGGCATGTTCGTTGCAGCATCTCGATGATGTGTACACCAACTTTGGTCATGAAAAGTATCCTTCAGGGAACACCGGAAAGCTTGCCAGCACAAGCTGCGATGGATGTTGGCACCGTTCAACTTGCGAAACTTACACACCAAAGCTGGCCAGATGTTTGCAGGGGCAAAGCGGCCAAGGACGTCCATGATTGGAGACCATCTGTGTCAATGATGGCTTCTTCGTTCACTACGGCCAGTATTGATGCTGCTGCTGCTGCTGCTGCTACTGCTTCTGCTGCTCCTGCTGCTCCTGCTGCTCCTGCTCCTGCTCCTGCTGCTCCTGCTCGCTTTGCTGCTGCTGCTGCTCCATCTGCTCCTGCTACTGCCATTGCCACTGCCACTGCTGCTGCTACTGCTACTTCTGCTGCTACTGCTGCTGCTGCGGCGGCTGCTGCTTCTGTTTCTGCTACTGCCACTGCTACCACCACTTCTGGCACCACTGGCACTACTAGTACGACTGGTACTACTTACTACTTGTACCACTTGTATTACTTGTAGTACTAGGAGAAGCAGTAGTCGCACCAGTACTAGAATACTAGAAGTCTTCGTCGTAGCGGCATCACCAGTGGCAGTGGTAGGGCAGGCAGTGCGAATAGTAAGCAGTTGTAGCAGGAGTCGTAGTGAGAGTAGGAGCAGAAGCAGAAACAAGACCAGCAGCCGGGGGAGTAGTAGTTGTTGTTGTTGCTGCATCGTTTCGCCCTCGGCGCGACAGAAGAACAATATTTGCATCTCAAGACATTGCTGCGTGCGAAACGCTGTAGAGACCACCTTGTTGGATGCACAAATTCGTGCACAAATTATGCAATCCAAAGAGTGTAGGCCAAACGGCGTTTGTCCACGGATGTTGGTAGTAGTAGGAGTAGGAGAAGTACTGGTAGGAGTTGCACGAGCAGTTGCACAGCATCAGGGGCAGGGGGGTTGGGGTGGGTAGGGGCATGGGCAGGATCGGGAGGCAGAGAGTACGAGTAGGACAGTCAGTAGTGAAAAGTGAGGACATGAGAATAAGATGACCGCCATGGTGATGATGGTCAATGATGGTCGGCCTTTGACATCTCTGCCGAAGTACCAGCTGAGTAAGACTGTGTGAGTGCCAAAAAAAGCCGAGAAAGCCTTCATCCTTCGCCCAAAGTGGGCTTATGCTGTGCTGTGCATCGCTCAGCAGACAGAGGGACCTGCTTTCAGTTTTTCTCGAACAGGCTGTCCTTTACATTTGTGCTTTGGTCAGCCTGCGCCTTAGTTCTTGCTGACATGCACTGAGCCTTTGTGAGGAATGAACAGCATATCCGTGGGTCCCACACATGCAGGAATGTAGAAACCGACATGTGCTGGGGCCCGGGATCTGATGCATTCCTTTGGGCCCCTTCGCATTGTTGGAGCACGAGGAAAAACAAACGGAGGCCCTCGAAGATGCGTTGCTGAGGTGTAGCATCCATCCCATTCACGCTGCTGGAAGCCGTGGGTGTCATTTCAAAGCCGTGACCTGTCTTTCACTGGTAGCACTTCGGCCACACCTAGCTTCTTGTCCTCACTGAGACCTTGACCGGTCAATGTCGCCACCAACTGTTCAGCAGAAGCTCACCTGTCCGATGACATCTTCAACCCTTCGTGTGATCAATGTCTCGTTTTGCGTGTGCACGTGTATGGGCTTGGTTTCATTGGAAGCTTGTTGATGATGCTAAAAGCAGATCAACGACGTCTTGCCAAAGAAACTGCCGCATGTAGTCCAATATGTCCAATTAAGCCCGCATTGATGACCAATTCATTGCGCTCAGTGCCTGGCATCGGTTGGAGCGGGCCTTTTGCGCTGCCGCTGCTTACAAAAAGACTTGATGCAGCACAAAATGAAAATCCCGACAAGCTTAAACTTAAACTCATTGTAACTCATGCCCGGCCTCAGCTCAATTTCCTGTGCAGCAAGCCAGTAAAGTAATAACTTGTTAGTTCGCTTCCATCCGTCTCTTTGTTGGTATGCGGAGCGTACAGGTGCGTGCCGACTTTTTGCGAGACAATCCTGGAGCGGAGGAGTGCGGTTCCAAGAACGGCACAAGTTTCAGTCCATGTTTGTCTGTGTGTATGTGTGGGGGAGTGGTTGTGGCGGTGGTGGTTGCATGTGTGTGTGTGTGATTGTGTGTATGATTTTGTGATTGTTCGCGTGGGCGTGTGGGGGTGGGGGTGCATGTCAATCTGTGTGTTGTGTGTGTGTGTGTGTCTCTTCTGCCAAAAACGCGGAGCCCCTGCTTAATTAGCAGTCTAAGCTTCCACGAGCACCTTCTCGATTGCTGTGATTCAAGATGACAAGCATAGACGAACGAGCACATAGACACAGACGCGGCCAGGGACCAAAGGACAACTGAGCATGATTCGAGAGTTGCCGCATGCCCAGGAACAGTGTCGACATTTATGCTTATTTTCTCAATCGACTTCGAGACAACTTGCACGTGGTGCTGTCGTTCTCGCCAAGCCCTCGGAAGTGCTGTGCTGGTCTAAAACTAAGCACCAGAGCCCAGATTTACTCCTTGCCGCTGCCAAGCGATTCCCAAGAGCTTTGAAGCAGCGGAAGAAACCATGCATGCTGATGCCCTCCTTGGATCTCTTGAGTCCATGTTCGAGGCACCTGAGACCAGACTTCCCTCTGCGGGCGCAGATGTTCCCGGCGGTTTTCAGCAGCATACCCAGAGAAAGTCCGGCGGCAAGCTGCAGACGTTTCTGATTATGCCATTTGTGCGGTCATGCTTGAAATTACAGAATACACGCCATGGTGCAGCAATGAGACTACAATGCGAGACATGCTGCAATCGGCCAGGCGCCGTCAACATCAATTGGCTTGCGGCCCAGTCATCTGCATGAATCGCATTTTTTAGAAGATCATTAGATTGCGCTGCCGTTCTTAGGTTTTTGCCCTGGCCCGAAGAAGCTCTTGTTTCTGTGAGCACCGGCCTTTGTTTATGATTCCACGCTGCACTCACGGGCCATCATGATTCCTCGTCACAGGTGCCAACTTCTTGAAAAACTTCAAGATAGACACCACGGAAGAACACCGCAACCGCCTCTTCCCCAGATTGCTTGTTGATTGCTTTGAGTGGAGGGCTCTGTGCTGCAAGTGCAGGTCTCTATGAAGTGATGGGGTCTTTCCAGCTCCGCGTGCGTCACATGCACCACGCTTATCAAGCATGCGTGCCTGCTCAAGGAACAGATGCGCCTTTGCCATCTGCAGGTGTGGAGTTTACTTGTCCAGAATGCGGAAGCACGTGTACGTTACACCAAGGAACAGATCATTTTAGATGGGGCTCAGGGCCTGTGGTGAACAGTACTTCTATTAGATTCTGACCAATCTGCCACAGGAGCTTTCTGTGCTTCATCGAGTACTACAAGAAGCTTTATGAGCTCAAGCATGAGGAAGTCAATGCAGATTGCCTACCTTCGTTTGCAGCAGGCGAGGGATGAATTGAAGGTTTCTGCAAGCTCAGGTCCAGGAGAAAAGCGTCATCATTGGCTTGCGCAAGCTGGATGAGGCTTCGCCGCTTTGCTGGTGCTGAAGCTGATGTCGTTGCTGCTGCGCTTAGTACAGCTCGTTGCACTGGCCGCGGCCGGTCGGGGGAGGGGCTGCCAGTTCCTGGCGTCTTGCTTGCAGTTCGAAGCGATCTGCCAGTTGCCGCAGATCGGTCTGCAGAGATATGACCACTATATGTATATTATACTTTCAAGTCTTCCCTGTTGCCATGTCAACGAAAGCGCAGCACGAGCACGCAGTCCTCGTAGGACTCGGCGCAAAGGCACTCATTGGCGTGCTGCATGTCACAAGGTGTCGCTACTGCCCTAGCCAGTCTTGTCATTGAAAAATTTGTTGGCTTTAGTACGGCTTTTGTCCAATATGGGCTTTCGGACTGACAAGCAGGAAGAGACATGACGTGCACGCATCACCATGTCCATGCCCCTTTAAGTGGTCACATGATGTCACACGTTGATAAGTTACCGGCGGGTTTTCCGAATCCAGGATTTTGTGGAATGGGCTCTCAACCCATGCCCGGCCAACCTCATGAAAAGCGCGGTATCTTAGGTGCGTGTATGGCCCTAGGATGCCCCAGGTCTTAGACAGGCGATGGGGTCGGTCGAACATGGTCGATCCCACAGACGGATTTCGCTACATCACACTCAACGGCACATGTTAGAACTTGACCAGACGCAGGTAGTGTCAGATAGTGCAAGACATGCACCAGCCTCTGCCTCAAATGAAAATTGCAAGACGCAGGCGGCGAAGAACGTCGTGCAGATGCAGGTTCGCTGGACTCGCAGCGACGTGTATACAAAAAGCCGATCACTGACAGTCGCACCTCACAGGCTGAGATCGCTGCGCCCTGAGAGCCGCACATTGAAGATAGAACGTAGTATGGTTGTTGGCACCTGAGCACATTCCTGAACACACCCCCGCTGCAAAAGCATACGACTTCAGGAAGCTCAAGAAGAGATCTTGCGGAAGGAGGATGACAAGACAAACAAGCTCCTGGTAAAGGCTGGGCTTTTTGTACGGGTGCATAGACGGTCATCCGACCAGATTTTGCCGGAGTGGCACGGAGGTACAAGGAGAGAAAGCGCGAGCGGAGAAAAAGGCAGAAGAAGTGGGCAGCATAAAAAAGGACAGCCCGAACTATGTGGGCAGTGACACCATATGAAGCCCTTCAGGAGTGTCCGATGTTTAGTTTGTTTGGTCTTGTCCCAAAATCTTTGCAGGATTGCGAAGACAATGCAGCTGCCATCAACGAAGACAAAGAGGAGGCGCAGCTGCAGTTCACTGCAGTTCTGTACCAGAGAGTGCTGAGTCGAGGCCAACCGCCAGCTCCAAGAAGCGCTTCCCTACTTGCACGAGGACCGCGGAGTTCTTTGCCCTCCATTGGAGTCGGAGCAGCAGAGCGA